GAGGGAGAGGGAGAGGGAGAGGGAGAGAGAGAGTTGGGAGATTGTTAATACAGGATCTGGACCACAAAACACAAGCTTCCTTTAAACCTGAGGTCATCCTGTCCAAATGCTGGGACTTCAGGTGTATGTTATCATACCAGTCTGAGATACTGTACTTTTATGTTAGAAATCAAGGTCACAAGCTGGGTATGGTGGCACACCATACCCTATCTCAGCACTTAAGAAGTTAAGGCACAAAAATCAGTCCAAGGTCAGCTTCAGGTACATAGGAAATGAGGCCAACCTGGGCTACATAAAACCATCTAAAGCAAAATGTAGTGTGACATGCCTTTAATCTCAGGCCAGACAGGGCATATATAAAGTGAGACCCTGTTTCAATCAAAATGACTGAAAGGGGAGTGAGGAGATGGCAGGCAAGATGGCTCACTGCCTCGTGACACAAATTAATTCCCAGGACGCACTGGGATTGATTCCCTGTGGAAGAAGGGACTCCTGCAAGTTGTCATCTGCCCTCCACACAAGTGCTTTGGAACACTCACAAATAAATGAAATTATAAAAAGGACTCATAATTCTACTTATTTTATTAATAGACTTATCTTTGATTTGAAATTTTCTTTTTTGTAAGGAAGATGGGGTGGTAGACAGGGTCTGGCTTTAAACTTTTCTTTGTCTCCTGGCTAGAATCTGATTTGCTAATTATATCATCTACACTTAACACATGTACACATAATTTAAAAAAATGTTAACTATACTGAAGCTTGAATATTTTAAATAAAATATGTAAGAAAAATATTCAAGAACCAAGATTTTTATTAATTTATATTTTTAAGGGTATTATTTTTTAATTGTATATCTGCGTGTGGGTATGTGCATATGATGAAAGTGTCCTCAGAGACCAAAGATGTTGAGTCTCCCTGGAGCTGCCCAACCTAGGTACTGTAAACCAAACTCAGGTCCTCTTGATTAGTAGCCAGTGCCATCTCTCTAGTCCTTTATACCTTTTCATGTATGCAGTGTTCTGCCTGTGTGTATACCTGCACGTCAGAAGAGGGCACCATATTTCATTATAGATGGTTGTGAGCCACCATGTAGTTGCTGGGAATTGAATTCAGGTCCTCTGGCAGAAACAGCCAGTGAGTGCTCTTAAACTCTGAGCCATCTCTCCAGCCCTTATATACTTTTTCTTAAATATTATTCCTTGAATGTGTTTTAAATATAAGAGATGTACACACACCAAGTTATACCACAATGCAGGAGACTGAGGCAGGAGGACCACAACAACTTTGAGGTCAGCTTAGGATATCTAAAAAGATGCTGTCTCAAACATGCACACACATTTTTTAAAAATCTTAAATGTAAGTGGCATTAACAAAGTCATAATATAGCCCCTAAGTGACAGAAGCAAGAATGGATTTATAACCCAAGTCCAGATCATTTACTGTATTGCTGTGTTGGTCTTTGTTCAAGTTTGTTTATGATTACAACTTTTTTTTATTCATTTGGAAAAAGCATTTTATTGTTTAATTTTATGTGTATGAGTGTTTTGCCTGCATGTATGCCTGTGCACCACTTCATGCCTGCAGAGGCCACAAGAGGGTGTTGGATCCTCTGGAATGAGTTGTAAGCAGTTATGTGGGTGCGGGAATTGGAACCCAGGT